TAAGAGACCCATGAACAACTCTTCCTGACAAAATCACTAACTAAAAGCTGACACCTATGTTATGTGCACAGTGTATTGTTTCTTAATATTCCTTGTCATGCACAGATAATGAAAAGGCATCACTAGCATCTCTAAATTTTATTTAAATATCTTATATTCTGGTTTAATTCAATAACTCATCGAAATCATTGCATTTATAGCTTATTCCCAGAATCCAGTCATGGTTTTTAAAGTTGATTTAACTGACGATCAGAAGAGACCATGATTAAAACAATGGAATTCGAGTCAAAATCTAATATTCCTCAAAAGTACTTTTTCACAATTTAATTTTTTTAATCACTTTAAGTATTGTGATTCTCTTAGACTGCACTGGACGGCCTTGGCTTGTAGCACCAAAGAATGGAAAGCAAATTCCACTTTGGTGAGTTTCCTTGGTAATGATTTGTGTTCTATGCAGCGATTTATAGGATTGTGTTCCAATCTTGTGCTTTGAGGGAAGAAACTATGGTGTCCAGGTACATGGGTGAATGAGGTGTTGGTCCCTGTGGGTGCCCAGCATCCATAACCAGGTTGATAGATCCTCCTTTTCGGCAGTTGTCCCCGAACTCCTCATGAGAGCCCCTACTTGCGGTAAAGATTTTACAAGGCCCCCTCACCCCGCCCAACAATAGTACTTGTACTCTTGGTATTTGTGATTAAGAACACAGAAGTGATGTGAAGTTACAATTATTTCAGTGGCCCTTTATGTATATTTATATTTTAGGAATTTCAATTAATATCTATAGATTTTCTTAAGTAGTAGCACATCTTGATACGAGACATGACTGTGAGACATCATCTTGGCTGCACACAGTCCCCAGTACTCACATGGGGTGGCTGCCTCCTAGCTGCATTCCACAGACTAGAAGGCACCCCTTTGCTACAATTAATTCTTGCCACCACCACCCCACCACCCAATTATCCTACGTGCCACTCGATGGAGGGAACAGGAGGAACCCAGAACAGCCGTTGGGAGCTGAAATCATACCATCTCACAGGCCTTCCTCTCTCGTTGGATAATTAAAAAACACTGACCCTCTAAAAGTACTACTACTGTGTGACCACAGCAGAGGGGGGCCCATGACTCTGAACGTCTACTCAGAGTGGGGGTTTTAGTGCAAGGAGCTAAAGAAGGGAGGAGTAGCATGGCGCTGCGGCAGCATCTCCAGTACCCAGCAAGTGAGCTCAAACACATGGGGCATAAAAAAGCATTTTATCATTTGGGTCATGGATGATGTCTTGTGGCTAAAGCGTGTGTGTGTGTGTGTGTGTGTGTGTGTGTGTGTGTTTTCACTTTTGTATTTGACAACGAAAATATAACCATGAGACTAAGTCTATTTCTAAGTCTGGGGTGGCATCTTCAGTGAAGCATCACCACGTTTTGCCATAATCTCAACCAGTTTGTCATCCTTGGGCTTGGGGGGGTCTGCCATCCCTGCCCGTCTCTGCACTGTACGAATTGGAGTTTGAGGGGGCTCCTCTTTCTTCACTTTTCACTCCCCTGTCGCCAGTGAATAAACATGAGTATCGAAAGTGTTGTTAGATATTTTTGGTGTAAAAGATGAATTCCCATTAAGAGTCCATTAAAAGTAAACATTCCCTCCTTTTCTCCCCCCCCAATACCAGATAATCTAGATGAATATTTTGAATATGACGCAGAGGAGTTCTTGGTCTCCTTGGCCTTGCTAATCACAGAAGGCCGCACACCGGAATGCTCTGTGAGAGGCCGAGTGGAAAGTTTTCATTGCCCTCCAGCACAGTCCTGTTACCCGGTAGCAACCAGACATGAATGCAGTGACAAGCTGGCCCAGGTGAGAACTGTGTGTTGCACGCTTTTTATGAACTGTATGTATTAACTAACTTCACTTCTGTCATCTTCTTCATCATCACATAATTGCATCCATCAGAAGCACCACAATTATAATTTGGAATGTTTTTGTATGTTTAGGGTTTTTTTTTAAATCATTTTATTGGGCCTCGTACAACTCATCACAATCCACACATCCATCCATTGTGTCAAGCACAT